GCAGCCCTCATCTTTATTTCCTGCTGCTTTATCTGCTCTCTCTGTTCTCCTGGTTGCTCTTATACAGGGAATTACCTCTGTCCTTCTTGAGGAATAATTCAGCTTTTAGACCCATGCCCAACTTGCTGTTGCAGGGAGTTTGTGGCAGATATTTTTTTGGTGGGGCTGCACAGTGCCAGGAATGATTTCATCCAATGTTTGCCTCCCCCAGCTGTGCCTGTGCATCCTCCTGATCAGCCTGCACGAGGTGACGCTGCTGCACAACGTCATCTCAGCCACGGGTGTCGTCTGGGGCTGCCTGAAGGTCACCGTGGGCATCATTGCGGTGAGTGTCCAGCTGCAGGGGACAGCAGGGACACCCAGCCCCTGGCACTGCCCATCCTCACCCCACAGGCTCAGGGGAGGGAGCCAGGACGGAGAAAAGCAGAGCACCAACAGTGCTGAAGCCAGGTTTTGTCTAAATCTGTGTCTGAACTGAGCACACGGAGTGAAGTGGAGTCACGTTGTCATTGGGCCGTTCTGAGGGATGTTGTTTTAGTCTCAGTCCTTGATCACTTTAGAAATCTGGAGGATTACACTATCTTCAGTATTTCTGCCTCTCTGCCAAGGCTGGTTGAACTGGGAGCAGTCCTCCAGGCCTTAAATCCTTAGGAAACCACACCAAAAAGATGATGGTCCTTTGCTGGGGCATCTCCTTCAAACCTCAGGGAGAGTTTCCAGGTTAACCTACAGATTTGTGAACTTGAAATGTCATTTTCCATGTCAGACTGAACCTCCTCTGAAATCCTGAGCCTCTGTTCCAAGAAAGATTGCAGAATCAGGGCCAAAGTACACCAGATAAGTGAGTTTCTTATTACCAGGAAGGAGTTTAGGGGTTTTTGGGGGTGGATGTTGGTTTAGGCTCCTGGGGTGTTTGCTTTAGTCATTCACACAGATTCACACAGCTGAAATACAGCTCCCTGTGTGTTTTGGTGGCTTTCCTGCATTTAAAACACATCAGTTTTGGGTTTGGGGGGAATCTGGTGCTGATCAGATACATCAAATCCAATCCTAATACTGGCACAGTCACTGCTCTCACCTCCAGTGGCTCAACTGCTTTTCCTTCCTTGCTCAGACCCAGGGCTGCTGCAGTCCCCTTCTTTCCCAAGCCCTAGGGTGAATTGTGAAATTAAATTCTCCTGGCACTTCAATCTTCTTGCTTCTCCCACACTTCACTCCTCAGTGACTGCACTTCTCTGTAGTAAAAAGAAAGGTAGAGTAAAAGGTAGAGTTAAAAAAAAGCCACAGAGAGCTTTTAGTCTGTCTCCTATGAAAACATTCAGCTGCTAGAGGAAATCTGAGTGTGCTCAGGAAGGTCATCATCACTCCTGGCCCAGCTCAGGGGAAAACAGAGGCTGAATTTCCTGCTAAAAAACACGGGTGGAGAAGGGAAGTAGAGAGCAAAGCTAAAACTGAGAACTCAGCTTAGCCAACACTTGGAATGTTATGAAAAATCAACTATATGTAGCTTTTTTAGAATATATAGCAACTTTAAAAAGCTGTATCTCATCTTATTTTGCAGATTTTAAAAGAGCTGAAACCTCTGGTGTGGGTTTTCCTGATTCAGAATGTGCCTGAGGTGGTTTATCTCATCTACCTGCTCTACACGGTAAGGGGAGCAAGGCTGGGAGGTCTCACCCTCATCCTTCTCAGGGCCCAGAGATGTTGCTTTACCCTTCCTTGCAGCTCCTGCTGGATTTAAAAAGAGCAGAGCACGTCCTGCCTCTCCAGGATCAACTTTTCACAATAGAGATAAAGTCAAGTCGCTCTTGAACTGAGTAGAGAGAGAAGCTCTGGAAGTCCCTGCAAAGAATGATGAGGGAAAGATGAAAGAAATTCTTTTTCAAGATACACAACTTCTCAAAAATGCTTCCCCTCCTTCACAACAAGCCTCAGGTGGTGCCAGAGCATTTGACCAGGGCTCAGTTGTTGTGTTTTAAAGAATTTCTTAGGCAGCACACACAGCTGTGGATCCTGTTGTAGCCAAAACAAGGCGGTACAAGCCAAACAAACTCCAGTTTGGGGCAGTTTTTTGGCTCTGTAAGACTGATAATACCTTTATCAGTGAGCACCTCCCACCAGATGTGTGAGGAGAGAGGAGGGCAAGGGGAAGCCAGGCTGTTCATGCTGGGCAGGGCTGGAATGCTGAGAGTGGCCAGTGCTTCTCATCCTTCCCACCCACAGCCCCCAGACACCAACACCACCCTGGGGCTGCAGCCTCAGGGATCCACTTACCAAATGCAGCTTCCCATCATTCCAGTTTGAGCTGGCAGAGCACAGCAGGACTCCACACTGTCTGTACATCATGAAATCAGAAAACTGAGATGGTTTCAAAGTGAGCAGTTGGGTTTTTCTTTTTCCCCAGTTCCCAGCAGGTGACTCCTCTCAGAAATTCAATGCTTGGTTGCATGTTGTGGCTTCAAGGGTTTTTGGCAGCAGGTGGTGATGGTTTCGTGTCTCCCTTTTCCTGCAGGTGATAAGGGAGTGGGGCAAAGGCAGTTCTTACACCCTGGAAGCTGCTTTCATCACTGGCTCCTGCATTTCTGTCACAATAAAATCTGTTCTGTTCTGGGCTCTGGTTCACGTCTACCGTAGCTTCGGGCAGGGGCTGAGGGAGAGAAGTAAGTACCCCAAAAACTCACTGGGAAGGGTGGGGCGTGTTCTATCCCTGTCCCAGTCCTGGGAAATAGCCAGGAAAATCCTTAAGAGGAAAAGGCAGATCCCCAGTCAAGCAGTTGTGCAGCCTCAGAATTACCAGGCTGCCGAAGCTCAGAAGTTGGGTGGAACAGATGTGGCTTTTCCCTGGAGAAAGCTGCTGCCAACCTGAGCAAGAACTGCTGCTGTCCAAAAAAAATCACACCTGTGTGAGCAAACCTCTGGCTACTTGCAGTGTTTCTCTCACTGTATAACACAGAGACAGCAAAGGGACACCGATGTGACACAGTCCAAAGCTCCAGCTCCCCGAGGGTCACCGAGTCCCTGCAGTGCTGCTGACTGAGCTCCTCTCTTCCCACAGTGTTTTCTTCCTATGGAAGGATCGACTCCTGAGCCCTCCCTGCAGCTCTCCCAGAGTGAAGCCACCCCAGGAGCTCCTGACCAAGGACCTGCATTCAGGGAGGCAGTGAAGGGTCGCTTTCCCAGGATGGAGGAGGTCAGGAAGGTGTCACACATTTCTTGGAGCAGTGCAGGTGGGACAGAGTTTGAAAAGCAAAACGCGTTTGGGAATTCCCAGCTGATCTACTGACAGCACCAAGCATCTTTCACTCCTTTTCCTGCTGCTTTGGAAGCACGGGGAGGGGTCACACCCACATGTGTGTGGGGAATGTTGCTCCTTTCAATGCTTCTGGCCTGGATAGACACAAACATCATGAAGGAAATTTGCTCACCCATTCTCTGTACCCGAGTCTGGAAGGTGATTGTGCTGCCATCATTTCCAGCTTGGATCTACTGCACAGCAGCTCCAGCCCTGATGGGTTGGTGACAGTGGTGTCCCCTCCTAAGGCTTCTTTTCCTCCTCTGGCTTCAGAATATTTCAGTTTGTTTTTTATTTTAACCCCAGCTACACATGAAAACTTGTAACCTCACCCCTCCCTCAGCGTAACCAAGGTGCCATTTCATACCAGGGGGACTGTTACAATGAAGCCTTTAATATTGTAATTTAAAAGTTTGGTATTTTATTGACTGGAACCTTTAACTACTGGCTATTTTTAAATAAAGTATAAGCACAGTTTGTGTATGGATAATTATTTCACATGGAACAGCACCAATTCAATGGGAAATCCCTTACAAAACTGCTTAGGGAAGAGGTTGGGACTGGAATTCATGGGTGCTGTGGACATTGCCACTACTCTTCAGACACAGCTTTGCTTGCAGGCAGCTAGACACTGCAAAAAGCAATTAAATTAGAAACTTAGCTTATATGGGAGATTTACAAGGATTCTATCAAAAGTGCTGTAATTTTTTCCTCATCCGAGCCCTCTAAATCAGAACTTCTATTAGAAATAAGTATTTTTCTCACCTTGATCCCCTAAATCTGAATCAAATCTATTTTATCTGCAGCCCAAGGGAGGCATGAAGAGGTTAATGTGTGCAGGGGCTGACAGCAGCAGCTGCCTCCGTGACTTCACCCCACAAGTGCCAGTGGCAGCAGGGATTGTTGCTGGAAGAATTGAACATTTAAACATCACAACACAACGTTTTCAGTCCTTCCCTCACCAAGCCCAGGCAGCAGGGCAAGGCTCTGCTCTGACACAGAGCCTGTGCTGGGCAGAACGAGGTGAAGGAAGTGTTCTGTGGCCAGGTCACAGTGGCACTGTCACAGAAAGTGCTCTGGCCATGGACAGCACAGAGTTTGTCACCAGCCAGGCATGGAAAGGTAGAAAACCCTTTCAAAGGCGCCTTGTAAAACAAAAACTTCACTTAAAAACAGCTCCTTTACCTGCAAAAGGCATCTCCTCACATCTCTCAGCTGCTGGAATGAGTTACAGATTAATTATGAAATGAAAAGACTCTTAAACATCATTATTAGTATCAAGTTCCACTGGAGAAGTGGATAGAGCTTCATCAGAACATGCTTCAGGCATTTAAACTTCATTTTTAATCCTAAACTTCCTGGATAAAAATTAACAGATTATTTGACAAATTTATCTGATCCTTATCTATTTGACCCTTATCTATTTCTTTCCTCATATATCTATTATTGGGCCTTTCAAAATGGTATTTAATGAAGCCCAGCTGGTTGTACAGAAGATTTCTTTCAAGTTGCACAGCAAATCCAGCAATTATTTTGAGACTTTTGAGGAAAACCTGGCATCAGACATTCAAAAAACCCTTGGGTGTATTATTCCCAGAAAACAGATGCCACTGTCCCATGAGAAGTGTCAAACCCCACACAATTCCAAGCAACTGATTAAAAATTCACAATTTTATATTCTCCCCAGTCAAAGGCAAATCGACCAATCCAACTTTACAAAAAGATTTTATTGAAAGGATTGAAAAATATTTTGTTTCTCAACAATATTTAAAACCAAGTTTTCAATGTGTTAACAATATGTAACAGGATTTTTCATCTTTTAAAAATTCAGTACACTGTTTTATTCCCTACTACAGTTGGTAACAACTTCTCCAATTTCTACCAGAGGATAAAATTATATTTTTTTTAAACCCACCAAATTAATTTCCCAGCTTCCATTTTGGCCCTTTGTAGATGAAAGGATTTGTAGGTGCCAGTGACTTACAAAGCCTTTTATTAAAAAGTCTTAGTCAGCAAACCCCCATTTTTAGCACAGTTTAACCAAGTTATTCTGAATAAGCTACATTAGCAAAATGAGGTTTTATTGCCAATGAAGTGAGGTGCATTTCAGCTTTTTTCTGGTTCAGCTCCCCCACTCCTGGAGCAGTTTAAATGCAGAACTCCAGGGCTGCTCCAGCCTCACTCTCCTGCAGTTTGCAGATTAAAAGCCTTGGAAAGCGACTTTGCACACTCAGATCAACTTTGTGATGTGTTAACACAGCCCGGGCTGTGAAAGCAGCTGGGCCAGGGAGAGTCAAGGCAGCTTTTGGAGGAAAAGCCAGGACTGAAGTCACTGAGCCAGGGCTGCAGCTCTGCCTGGGCTCAGCAGCCACCCAGAAAATGCCTTTTCACAGCAGGAATTCTGTACAAGCAAAGCTGCAGCAGCCTCAGAGCCAGCAATGCAGGTGATAAATTGAAAGAAGAAATTTCAAGCCAACCCCTAACGTAGCTCTGAAGTAGTTCAGTACACTTTGATTACAGATTTAATTACCTGTGCGCTCTGAAAATTAAAAGTTCGGCAATCTAGTCAAGAATAGCTTTACTATTATAAAAAGCATAAATAAAAAGTGCTGAATATAGTTTTATCTTTAAAAAAATACTAGATAAGGCTCATAAATCATTTCACCTCTGCAAAATGATTTTCCACTCCCCAGTGTGCCTTGAACTGTTAATTCTCCACTCATCCACACATTTCTCTAGACACCATACCCTGTTCCTTCTCTCAATTATTGCATGTTTAAATAAAATAGTTCCAAAGCAAAAAAGCCTGACACTTCTCTAGTTCAAAAAGTAACCAGTTATCAAATAACTGAATACCCCGCTTAGGAAACCTGTAAGCAGCTTCAAAACAGTGATAAAACAATTACTGCGGATTCAAGTGAAAGAGAAATCCCAAAAGCTCCCTGGATATTCTCCAAGATATCCCAAAATCCATCTGGTTTTGACCAATCAAACCAAAATTCTATTTTACAAAATGTACAAACCAAGTGTTAATTTATACCAACATGCTTTCACTGCAATTTCAATCGTTAGCCAAGAGTTTGCTTCTCTTTTCTGGAAAAGTGTTCTCACCTGCATTTCATGAGCTCAGCCCAGGGCAGCATCCAGAAGGGATGAGACATTATTGAAACCACCAGAGGACAACGGGTCAGGCAGAGTTTGGAAATGAACCCATTTCCCATTTCCACTTTGGACCACAGAAACAACGTAAGACAATCATGAAAAACGGTTCAGCAGAGATTCTCCCTCCGTTCCCAAGGAAATCCCACCTCAATCAGGAAATTCATTCCTTGGCAAGATTCTGCCACAGGCATTGAACAGCTCCTGTCCCTTCCTTCAGTGAGCGATGCAGCAAGACTTGAAAATGCTGAAGTTTGGATAAGATGATCAAGAGACTGCACCACAGAGAACATAAATGTAAACATTATCCTTGGGTTTGCTATTTTGCAATTAAAGTACAGTACAAACCCTTTCCCCCAACCCCAACCAGTTCTTTTGTTGGGGTTTTTTGTTCTTTCATAAAAGCACGTACAATAAAATATGTACAGAGAGAAGTTAGAAACATTTGAAAGCATCTTAAAAAAAGTAAATGTGAGACTTAGAATATCTTGAGCGTGCTGAAGGCACCATTGCTACTCCACTGGGAATGTGTCCTCTCATTTCTCCAGCCCACCAATGCAGAATCCCACCCTGGAGTGCTTAGCACCAAGAGCTGGAAGGTATCCATGGAAGTTGAGGGCATTCAGGATCTAGAATAGGATATTTTCTTCAGGACAACAGTGAATTCAGTAGTAACTGAAGTCCAGATTCTTCTTGAACACTTGAAGAATTATTATTATTATTTTAACATGATAGTCTCTAATGCTACCATTTATCCCAGGGAATCAAACAAAAATAGTGAAAAAACCCCAACACATGGATGATTCCCACCAAGAGGAAGTGCAGAGCTGTGAATTAGCTCAGCTACAAACCCAGAATAATTAATGTTCATCCCTGCTGTTTGTGGGTATTCCCACAGTGCTGACAGCCAAGGGTCAGCCACTGCTCAAATGGGCACAAGAGAAAGAAATGTATATATAAAAAATATATATACTTTTTATTACTAGTTCCATCTATTAATAAAAAAACATCCTTTGTGGGTGTTTCTTCAGTGTGTCACACTTGCAAGTAAGAAAGTATTTTCTGGGCAAGGTGTATTTAAGATAACAAAGAGGAGCTTTTTTTTTTTTTAAAGAAAACTTCTCAGAGCCTTTCTGTTCCTAGCAGTGTTAAATGGAGTTTCAAATCTATCAAATGAAAGAGATTTTAATGCCACTTTTCTGCTGCCACTTTTCCCTGGTGTAGCTACATTCAGCCTGCCATGGAACTGGTAAGTCAGAGGTTACAATCAAATCTGCAGATGTGGTTTTGGATAGCAGTCAGGAATGATCCACTCTCAGACTGCTCATTTGGAAGGAAATTCCCATTGGATTAGAACCATCAGAGCCTTCCACTCCCACTCGTGATGGACAGGAAGGAGCAAACCCTTCCCAGCCCCAGCAGCTGAGGGGTATCAACCACAGCCACAAGGCAGCTCCGGGGCGGTGCCTGCACCCAGAGCTCCAAAATCCAAGCAGAGGGGAGGGATTCTGCCACATTCCACTGCCAGGAGCCCTGCTGGGTGTGGACACTCAGAATTCTTCTTCCTCCACGGCAAAGTTGTTCTGCTTCTTGCGCACGTTCCAGTGCAGGCACTCGGCCAGGCTCTCGAACCAGTCGCTGACGGGGTCCCGGAAGCAGATGGAGGGGAGGGGGTAGCAAGAGGTAGTGATGCTGATACTGCAACAGCACAGGGCAGTCAGGCAGAGCCAGCAACAATCTGAACAACCCCCAGGCTGCCCCCACCCAGCACAGCACAGATTCACCACCAAACAACAGCTTTCCATCATCAGTGATCACACCTACAGCTGCTCTCAGCTGGGCTTTCAACAACCAGCAGAGCTCTGGGGACGCTTTCTGTGACACCTCCACGGCATCCTGCAGCCCCTGGCATCACCCTCACAGGGACAAAGGGAACCCAAGGCACCACCTCGGCCTTTGGGTTTCAAGGTTTAAGCAGCAAGCCCAAGGATTCCGGAGTGTAACCAAGGGCCAAACCCTGTGTTCGAATCTTTCCTGGGCACCTTTCAATTTCAAGTTTTAAGCAACAAGCCCAAGGATTCTGGAGCGTAACCAAGGGCCAAACCTTGTGTTTGAATCTTTACTGGGCTCCTTTATAGATGCTCCAAGCTCAGAGGAAATAAAACCTGTTCAGGATGGAGGGTTACACCAGCTGTACATTTCCCTTCATGGCAAATTGTGTGGGCCAAGAGGAAAAAGTGCATCCTGAATAACCAATCTGTCAATCTCCTTCCCAGAGCTGCCTTGTAACACCTCCACCACCACAAACTGAACACAGAACTGAGGGACTTCACACCCTTCTGCTCACTCAAGGCCACAGCAAGTGACCAGCACCACTCCCAGTTAACCCAGTTTAATTCACATGGAGTACTCCAGCACCTCTGCTCAAGGCAGCTGCTGTTGGTTTGCATCTCTCAGAATTCCTAAGATTTATCTTGAAGTTAAAATTTACAGAGTTTTCTAAATATATGCCCATCTTCCTTGCCAAGCATGCAATGTTTACAGAGTCTGAACGTTTCACTTGCTTTTGTGGGAAGATCTGAAGAACTCAAGTTAGAAATTAAATCCCTTTAGTGCAGTTTGTGCTCTAGGAGGTGTTAGGGTTTATAAAAGCTTCTTTCTTTACTGCCAAAATCACTTTTGGCAGATGTTAGAGAATGAGGGAGCTGCATGAATCAGGATTTTCTATACTTAGAGATAATACAATCAGAAGAGAGGTTTGACCTGTCTCCATGGCATATTTCCTGCCTCTTCCTTCCATCAAACGAAACCCACGCCGTGTTCCTGGCATCTGGTGAGAGCATAATCTGAAAAACAGGAATGGTCCAAAACTCAAGAGCAAGGAACAAACACCTCCTCCACCCTCCCTGCAGAACTGAATCCTCAGAATTCCACACTTGCACAGGAATTCCTCAGCTGTCCATGGCAGCAGTGTAGTAACACCAAGCAAGCTCCAAACCTTTATTTTTTGTTTATAAACATGTTTTTCTATATGCAGTAAATCCCCTTTTTATAAGTACAAGGTCATAACCCACATAGACCTTCCAGTTCAGTTCTTGTAACTTTAATTCAGTTACAGGAGCTGACATAGCTCTTCTTTCAAGAAAAATATTGAAGATAATTCAGAAAAATAGATTTTAATACATAATGATTCCAAAGCTGTCAAACTTAGGAAGTTTGGTTCCTATTTAAATTACATTCCCATTAGAATTAACTACCACTGGCCAGTAACACTCACTGACATGAAAGTGTAGGCTGAGAGCTCTGCCATGAATAAACATTGAATTTATGTTGTAAAACAAGAACAAAAAGTCCAGAACACACTCATTTCTCAATGCTAATCCTCTAACATCCTCAGGACAAAATGAGAAAGGAGTTCTTCCTTGCACAAGAGTATTTGTCCAAAATACCCATTAACCAAGTCAATTTTATATTCAGCTATTAAATGTCTTTTTTCTGCAAGACAAGGTTAAAAAAACCTAAATACTGAATTGCAGATAGTGCTAGCAGTATATACCTAAATTTGCAATATTTCTGCATGAAATGAGAAGTTCTGATTCCCTTCATTGATCATTTACAGGCACTTTAGCCAGGATTATGGAACATTTTTCAGAATGCAAATATAGGAATTCCCATTTTGTAGAATGTTACAGAGTTACAGTCCAGCAGGAAAAGTGTAAAGGATTCCACTTATATTAAGTGTGCAAACTCTTCCAAAGGAAGGCACATTCTTGAACCAGACTTGGTCTGATCCTGCCCCAAGTGAGAGGCAGCAGGAGCCACACGACGCTTCCCACCCTCCTCACATTCCTGCAGCCACTCCAGAAGCTTTTGAACCAAAAAGAGAAATCGAATGACAGAAGCCAACCTTGAGTTCCACTCCAGCAGGAACCACGATGGGTCTGAAGGACAGGGAGTGGGGGCAGATGGGGGTGATCATGATGGCAGGGACGTTGGGGTGGATCATGGAGGCTCCGGCCGCGGCGGCGTACGCGGTGCTGCCGGTCGGCGTGGACACGATCACCCCTGGGGACAGCAGGACAACAGGACAGGGCCATCAGCTCTAGAAACCAGGGACAGCTCTGAGGGACACCAACAAATCCCACCCTCACCCCTGGGGACAGCAGGACAACAGGACAGGGCCATCAGCTCTAGAAACCAGGGACAGCTCTGAGGGACACCAGATCCCACCCTCACCCCTGGGGACAGCAAACAGGGCAGTGCCATCAGGATTAACAACCAGGAACTGCTCTGAGGGACACCAACACATCCCATGCTAGGAAAGTGAACCTCTCTCCTTGGATTTCACAGCTCAACTGCAGCCCAGCACACATAAAGTGAGAAACTTCCCCCCCTGACCCTGCCACGTGGTTTCAGGAATTGCACAACTCAGGTTACACAATTTTGTAATAGTGACTTTCATTTTTTTTCTTTAAGGGTAAGAGCTTTAAAGATTAACTCCTTTCGTTCATGAGTTGAGACTGTTTGCCTTCAGCAAATCCCAGATTTCCAGGCCAATCTTTTCTGAGCTATTTCTTACCCTTAGCATGAAATGTAATATCCCAAAAAAGAGCTGCTTGCCCTCACATGCCCATAAAACAAAATCTTTCAGCACTTAAAGCTTCACTATGGGAATGAACACACCCATTTTTTGCACACTGATGTTTGCTGTCAGCAGTGAAGTTTGGAGCTCTGTTTCCAGGAGAGAAAATCCCCCAGGAAAAGCCTGGCCCTGAGCTGGGCCAGGTGAGCAGCACTCACCATCTCCTTGCACTGTGGTTATCAGGTGCCCATCCAAGAACACATCCACGTTGGACAGGTAGGAGGAAGGGCCACGATCCACCACAACTTCATTGAGGACCTGTCACGACACCAAACGTTACTCCAGCCCGCTGCTGCTGCCTTGGCAATGAAATAAATGTCAAAAAAATTAACAGGTTTTCCAGATCTCCTAAAAATTTGTGCTGATTTAGTACCTGCAAATTAAAGTCTCTTTACACTTCTGTCCTATCGAGTGCCAGTTGAAGTTTAAGAATTTAGTTTTGAAGATTTAATTAGATTTAATTCTTAATTTTAAGAATTAAGTTTTGAAGTTTAAGAATTAGTCCCAGGAGCTGGTCACTAACAACATGCAGGGTTTTTCTTCTCATTTATAAAAAATGTTTGGTGTGTCTGACTTCAGAACTACTACTTTGTTTTCAAAGTAGAAGGAAGGTTGGACTCGAGCTTGGAGGTGTTTTCCAGCCTAAACAATTCTGTGAAACTATTTCTAGAGCAAAGTGTGAGATTAGCAGCTATGACTGCACAAAGGAAATGTGTGCAGCAGCTCCTCAGCATTTAGAGCACCCTGGGAGCTGGAGCAGCAAGACCCAGCCCCACACTGCTGGGGGAGAGCTCTAATGAAACAAACACAAACTACAAACAATATATTGGTTTTTTTGGCTTGTTTTGCCCTCTGACCTGATATTGCATAATTTGTTTGCCCACTTCTTTCTCCAGGTTTGCAGACACAACTCCATTCTCCTCTATCCCATTCTGCACTGTGGTTTTCTCCCTGTGCTCCTTCACCACCTTCACCTTGAGCCTGCTCCGGAGAACGAGAGCAGCATTGCCTGGAGGGGAAACACAGGGAAAACACACAAAAATGAGATGCTGGCACAGGAAATAACCCCAGCAATGACTAACCCACTCTATGAAATGCCATCCAGCTATTCCTGAGCTTTCAACATTCCCAGTTTCATTCACAACATAATTGGCTACACTTGGCTGAAGCTCAAAACTGATTTTTAGTAGCAACGAGCAAAAATCAAAGCCAAATTTCAAGCCAGTCCCTTCCCACTTTTCTTATGATGTAAAAAGAAAATTTAAATTTTATATAGAGATTATTAAAATGGGAAAACGCTGTTGGGCTCATGTGATCTTCAGTAAGACAAAAGCTAAGTTTAAAGAAAATTAAAGTATTAGAAACATGTATTAAAAGATAACGTTCTAATGAGAGTTTTAGACATCTTTTCAGGAATCTACTTTGGATGGAACTCAACCTCATATTGAAGAAACAAAGAATTTACTTCCTCAAATATTTTATTTTCCTGCCTTCTCAGTATTTAAAACTGCACTTTATTTCTATGCTTAGTTGCCGTTTAACATAAATTCTACATTATCTTACACTTATTTACTCCATAAAGTTATTTCTTTGCCCTTTTTCTTTACAGAGCAGTACAGAGAGTAGCACTGTATGGGTCAGTGCAATACAGAAATTCTGGTAATTTAAGATACATTTCTGGTAATTTAAGGTACATTTCTGGTCATCTAAGAGTTCTTTTAATTTCAGATACATTTCTCAAGTTTCAAATCTTAAGGGCCAACCTAAAAGAGTAGATTAAGAAAAAGTAACAAACAAACACCACAACTTGTCCCCTTAAATTTACCTTCTATAACCTGAGTGACTTGGGACTGAAAATTCTCAAAATTAAATGGAGTTAGAAATCCAAGGGATCCCAGATGAAAAGCCATAACTGGAGGTACACTACCCTATCAATAAAGAAAAGAGTTTTAAAGCTACTCAGTCAAAGCAATCCATACTTCAACTATTTGTCTGTAAATATTGTGACCATTGATGAAACTTCAACTGTGTTTAATAAAAAACAACACATTTGACATTCTTTTCACAAGGTAAAAAAGAAGGAATGAAGAACAAAAGGCAAATGCTGAACTTGGCAACAAAGAGGGGGAAAAAACACTTTTAAATACTTCCAAAAGGAATGGTTTATGGGTTTATTTCCCATTAGAACCAACCTGGAAAAGAGAAGAAGCATAAAGTAAGGTCCCATCTCCTCCCAGGCATATGATAAAGTCAATCTGATTGGAGATATCATCATAGTCTAGGAGAAACGTTGAGATAAAAAGTTTTGAAGTAATCTTAATTTCCTAACAAAAATTAGGAAGAAAAATTACAATTTGCAGCACGCAAACATTCCCTCACAAATATATAAAAAAGCACAACTAAGATGTAACAACTGTCTGCAAAAGGCACAAAAGTTTTACAAATTCAACCCACCAATTAAGAAAACACCAAGACAATAAAATACACTCCAACTGTCCTTTCAAGAAATCATTTCCATACCTTCTCTGAAGGTGCAAAATTTCTTCTTCACTGGTCCAAAATTCTCATCATTAGCTATAGCAGGGTCTTCCAATACTTTTTTTTCTACATACACTATCATGTTGTTCTCCTGAAGAGAGAAAATAAGCTTGTGAGGGACGTCCTAACAACACACTTGACTCTCTCCCTAATTTCCATTAATTTAAGAAATAAATAATATTTACAGTCGTGTTCTGCATTTGCTGGGTGTTTTTAATGTGTGATCTAATTCTGATGAGAATTTTGCAGCATGCACTGACCATTTAATAAATTAAAGTTTGGAATAAAGATTACATGATACAGCAATGTTTTCTCAAGGCTTAATAGTTTCAGCTTTTTATATCCCATTTGTGTAATTCAAACTGCAAACAGAATGAAGTTTTTACTTTAATCATTTAATTTTAAGCTTCATACTGATCTTAACTTCTGCAAGAAATTTTAGTACACCCAGTGGCAGTGAGTATGAAGATTTGATTGCACAAATTCTGCACAGAATCTGCAGGTGGAGAAAGCTGAGGTGTAATTTCTATTTTCTCACCTCAGTGAGGTACACACAGAGCTCTTTGAAGGGCTGCAGCAGACTGGCATCACGGATCTTCTTAATCACAAGGACACTCTTGGGAGGTTTGTTCCATGTCAACCGCTGGCTTGCTGGATCCTGAATGTGCCTGTGGACAAAAAAAACCCAAACATCACCACATTTTGGTGTGACACTGATAAAAACACATCCTCCAGGACGGGGAACACAGCCCTACACACCAGGGCAGGGAAAGGCAGTAATTCCCATTGCTGTGATGTTCCTGAGGGAAAGGCAATAATTCCCACTGCAGTGATATTCCTAAAGAAAAAGCAATAATCCCCATTGCAGTGATGTTTCTGGGCTTTACTACATGCAGGTGATAAGACAGAATTAAAAATTCTGGTCCCTACTGCCCTGTGAATGACCTTTGCCAACAGGGACCTGGAGAGAAGCACCACAAAAGCTCTCAGAAAAAGTTCCTCAACTTACAGACACCACTGCTTCCTCTTGTTTTAGTGCTGACTCAAAGGGGAAACATTCAATTAGAATATCTGAAAGAGTCACAGCATAATTATCTCCCCCATCCAATACTCTAAATCAAACAGCTTAATGTAAATTTAAAATTGATTTCATTTCAGTGCTCACATTTGGGATACAAACACAGCAGAAACTAAAGGTTAATGCAGGGCTCTAATACCAATAATGCTGACAAGAAGTAGGGATTGCAGCACTGAATAAACCCAAACTAGCACCAACTTCATTCAAACAAAAGCCAGTCTGCCTGTTTCAGCTGTACTCACCAATTCCATCCAGTTCTACTGAATGAAAAGTTATTCATAACTTGCTTTAAGATCTTCATGTTTTTTTCCAGGGTTCAGGCAAAAGCAACAGCTCCAAATAAAATAAAAGGCCGAGGCTTTTATCACTTATTAATAACTGCAACCTCAGAAGAATACATTTTTCCCTGAAAAATGTTCTTTTTCTTCTACTGAAGATTTCAGTCAGTTCCAATAAAAAGTTGTGAGACTTTACAAAAAATCTTGTATAAAACTTGTATTCCAGATCCTCGAGGCAAGGTTTCATAAAGAATATCCCATTTCAAGAAAAATAAACAGGTATTTGATTTCCTTTTCTCTCAAGAGCACAAGCCCCTGATCCTTTCTTCGCTGAGTATTCATTCAATTCATCAAAAAGCAGATTTGCAAGTTCTAGAGCTGCTGGTTGTATTGAAAGAGACACCAAACCTTCCCTAACTTAAGCCTTCATATAAAAACGATGATTTTGTTAAAAATAATCCTTCCAGTGAGGAGAGTTTAACAACATTACCCACAGCAGAGGGGGAAAAAACACCAACAAGGTTTTGCTTGTTTTTAAAACCCACAAAACCTCGTGTGCAGCAAAAGTAATTTACAATTTGCTTTTCAAACAAGTCCTTGCCTTCAGCAGCCTGGAGGCAGCTCTGCTCCCGGCCCTGCCTGCCCAGGCTTTTCCCTGGCACAATCCTTTCCCTGTCCTTATATCCCCGTGCTGGGCCAGCCCCTGGGAGGAGCAATTCCCCGGGTCAGGTGGATAAACACACAACTTGGGCTGGCTTTGAGCAGCACTGCAGCGCCCCAGGGCTCTTTACAGCACCACGGGAGAATGAGGAAGCTCGGAGTTGCCAAAAGGAGGGATCTGTGTTAGACTTTCCCAGGAAACGGTTGGATATCACCAGGAAGGTTACAGTCTATAGAGGTAGAGATTTGGGCAAATAAATATTGACTGCAATGTTTTACAGTTAACTGGAAGAGCAATTAAATAAAACTTTCTTAAAGGGGAAAAAAGCACAGAATGGTTTGGATTGGAAGGGCTTTAAAGCCCATCCAGTCCCACCTTCCACCATCTCAGGTGGTCCAGTCTGGTCTTGGTCACCTCAAGTGGGGCAGCCACAGCTCCTCTGTGCCAAGACACCCCAAAACCAGGAATCACTACCTTGATTAAACCCTGAATTTCCTCACCTGGCCAAGTCAGGACCCATTTATTAAATATGTAACACCTGTATAGAAAGCAACACTTTATGCCACCCAAGCTACAAAATTAAAATGTTTATTTGCCCACTAAGCAGAAACCAGCCCATATTTCCACATTTATCAACAGTCTAAAAGCAAAATTGCTTTAACTGACGGTACCAGAGGCCAAACAGAAAAGTTGAAAGTACAAATTCAAGCACCATCACCAAGGAAGGGAGAAGGCTTCCCTCAGATTAAACAGCACACAGAACAGTTCCTCTTCCTCCTCTTGTGGTGCAAAAAAGAATTTTTATTGAACTGGAAGTATGAGAGTTGCCCTTTTAGACAGCAAACTATGGACTGCAGACGATGCCAACTTGGCAAAGCTGACCCCAGGGTGGCAATCAAGCAACATGAAAACCTCTAAAAACCAGGTAGAATCCAAACAGTGCTGAGGGAGCTGGGGGTGTTCAGAGAAAAGGAAACTCAGGGGTGACCTTATCCCTCTCTACAGCTCCCTGAAAGGTGGTTGTGGTCAGGTGGGGTTGGGCTCTTTCTCCAGGAAGTGACAGAACCAGAGGACACAGCCTCAAGCTGTACCAAGGGAAATATAGGTTGGATATTAAGAAAAGCTTTTTTACAGAAAGGGTGATAAAGTTCTGGAATGGTGTGCCCAGGGAGGTGGTGGAGTCCCCATCCCTGGGTGTGTTTAACAAAGCCTGGATGTGGCACTGGGTGCCGGGGTTGAGTTGAGCTGTTGGGGCTGGGTTGGACTCGATGGGTTTGAAGGTCTCTTCCAACCTGGGATTCTGTGAATTCCGATTAGGGGGTGAACAAAGTGGAATCAGTGGAAAAGCAAAGTGGTTTCCTTTGCCACAGAAGGAGCACAGTGCCACTGATGGGAGGAGTACTCACATAATCGTTTTAGGATTCTGCAGCATGCAGGCCTTTGGTCCAAACGTGGTCACTGGGCATGGTCCATGCAAGGAGCGTGTTCTCCTGAAGGCAGAGAAAATAATCAGTGAGTGAGAGAGATGTGCTGACAAACTGGGGCTGCCTGGCTGCTCAAACACCAAACCCTCCTTTGAAGCAGCTGCACAAAAACAATACAGAGCAAAGTGCATTTCTTAAACATACATGTGCTTCCCAGGCAGGGTAATTTTACAGATCTCGTATTTCCAATGGCTGCAAGCACAAGAACAACACTTCTATTCTGTGTTTCTCAAAGCACTACCTCTTACCTAAAAGCACATTTTTTAGGATGGCTGAATGTGGTATAAATACAGCTAAAACAGCTCAGTGAGTGCTCGACCCCTCACTGAGGGCTTTGGGTTTCCCAGTGTGTGACTTGACAAGGAGTTCTCCAACACCTCCAGATGTTTTTAGCGTGGTCAAGTCACAGTGTCTTGGTCATTTAACACCCTTAATAAATTAATCAAACAAATTCTTCAACCCTAAGGCACATGGAGATTTGTATCTGCAGTATCAGGCTGCAATTTTGAACAGGCTGAAAAAGAATTGCTGTTTTCCCCCATTTATTTCTCTAATAAAATATTTGTCTTCAAATAAACAGGGGCTCTGAGGTGTCATTTATCCTCAAAATTGAATCCCACCAGGACACAGGGTTATTCCTGGCTCTAGGATGAGATTATCTGGATAAAGTCAGAACTTTTCTGCCTCACCTCTCTCCCAAACTCCTCCAGAGAAGCTGGAACTGGGAGCAAAACTTGCTCAAGCCATGGAACTGCTGAAGCATTATGTGACTGCTATTAGAATTATTCTATTATAAAGAAGGGGGAAACATTTCTTTCCTGGGCTTAATTCAATCACATCTTGCTTGCAACAATCATCACTGCAGAGCCTTCTCTTGTGTGTTACAAAGCAGCTCAGACCAGCCTGATGACTCACTACTAGAGCTAAAAATCCCTCAGAAATCTAATAAAAATCAAAACCAGATCACAGGTTAAACATATAATTAAGAAACAACAGCAACATCTTATTTGTTCCTTGCCTCATAAAATATGCCAGTCTAAGATTTGAATTCCAGTAACAAAACCAGAATAATTTCTTTTCCACCTGTAAGTCCAGGCATGACTGACCAAGTCAGATAAGAGCATCACTAAGTGTTTAAAAAACACATTACTAAGTGTTTTATAAAGTTTACCTTATTGATATTAAACAAGAAAACTGAGCAAGGACTGACATAACAAGAGATTAACATGTCTGTCAATAAGGGCAAAGGGATGATAAGTCCCTATCTACTTGTGAACAATTACCCTTGGCATTAGGATGGTTAAATAACACCCTGGCAGCATCACCTCCCACTTCTTGCTCCACTCCAGCTTCTCCCAGATAACTGTGATTTTTGCCCTTTCCCAACACAGGTCATTATTTGGTGCCACTCCCAGTAATTGGCCAAATTCTGTTCCCATGTGAGGCTTTAAATATCCACATCTGACCTCCATGACATTCCAAAAGCTTCCTCTTCAAGCCCTAATTAATAACTGGTGTAAATTCTCCCTGAGATTCCACATGGTTATTAGTGCTCAATAAAGTGCTTGAGTGAACAGAATTTTAAGGCATTGCTAGTCAGGCTGCCTTTGCTCAGAATGAGCAGCAATGCCCTGCAAATTCTACATCTTGTAGGGAAATCTACTTATCAGTTCTCAGCAGCTGGGCAGCTACCTGGAGCTGAACAGCACAGAGGAAGCCTGAGAGCACTTCCTGCAAAATGCCTTGAGACAATTTAGCTCTGCAGTGAAGACAGCCAGAGAATGACTGCAGAGCATCCTAATGAAGGAAAATCTCAGAAGCAATTACCCTGATTCAAACCCAAAACAGACACAGCACTTCTGGCTGAAAAAGCAGCTGTTTAGCTCCAAAATAATGCACAAAAAATTAGACCACGTGGTCTTCTATGCAGATTGACTGAAAAGTTTGAGTAGAGAAGGGAAAAACACCAGTTTTACAGCACAATTTAAATATCAAGTCTTACATTGGCCCTACACACACCACCAGAGCTCCAACAGAGCACAGCCCTCAGAAAACACTTCCCAGAAGCATCAAATACACTGAACTACAAACACAGAGCAGTTATTTACCTAACCTTTCAAGGCTTTTAGTTTGCCTCCCTTCACCACAAACCCACCCCCTGTGCCCTTGAGCCTCACCCGTGTGTTCTCTTGCCTCCCAAGAACATTCCTAACCAGCAAAGCAGGAGCTCTGCACAGGAATTCCATCTGCTGAGCAGCTCCCTCGTGGTTCTACCCATGTTTTAGGGACAGTCCCAGCACAAGGAAGGTGAAGTCTTGCTGTTCCTCCCACAAGATCAAGACACGGCGCTGCCCCTGCCCGCTGTTCAATATTTACAGCGGGTCCAAAGATCACCAAATCAGAAGTTCTACCCACCCTGTCCACATGACAGGAGCTTTGCAATGAGATCAGAAAGTTGGCTCCAAAAAAAGAATAGGTGTTTCTCACTGCTCTGAGACAGCCTGCAAACACAAAGTAACTTTTTGCTGCTTCACGAACAGGTTTTTAACACACAGCACTAAAGCACTGGCTTGAGCTTTTGTAAAAGTCTAAAGAATTGTCTCTGCTGTTGACTAATTATTATTTGGAGACTGTGAGCTCTGCAGACACCTGTTTTGACAAGCCATGAAAACTTTGATTCTGAGTCTGCTCTAAGTCAACACCCCACCTTCGTTTTGAACCTTCCGAGGCACTTCTTAAGAATCTCTCATAGCCATATTAAAAAAAAAAAAAAAACAATTAAAATCTAGTTTATTTAATATATTTTAGCAGCAAGGGGAAGAAGCAGGGGCCTCACCTGAATTCTTTGGTGCTTCCAAGGGCTGGTGAAGCTGACAAACTGCGTGACTTGGCTCGGCCCCGGCTGGTGCTGCCCCACTCCTCATCGCCGTGACACGCCGAGCAGTGGTAGGCAGAGTCTGAGCTGCCATCAGCCCTGCTGGCACACAGCTTCTCCCGACTCATCTCCATGCTGGAACTGCAGGAACCTCGGCCAGAGAGAGAAATCCAATCCCTGCGGTGGAGAGGGACAGGCAAAACCTCAGCGTCCGCAAAGGTAACGGAGCTTTCCTTTAAATTCCAATTATGGGCTCAGCTGGCTTAAAGAAAAACAGAAGATTTGCTATCACAGTCCCTCCTCTCTCAGTAGATAACATGCTGAACATCAAAAAATTACTGGACTTGTGTTTAACATCAAGAAACTCCTGGAGTTGTCCAGGAGATGAGTGTTGCTGCCAAGAGGAGCCGGTGCTTTGAGCCATTTCCCTGGTTTCTGCAGCTCCTGCTCTGTGCTCAGCACTGCTGACCAAGGTGGAGCTTCCCCAGGGCCCCCACAGTGGTTTTTATCATTGTTTTTCAGCAATTAAAGTGTTTTAAAGTCCCTGCAAGAAAATCTGGAGGAGCATGTTACACTTAACACAGTTCACACACACTAATAAAGACTTCTCCGAAGAATCCGGGAAGTTCTTCAAGGTAATCAGAAGTTCCTGGAATTAAAAATTACCAGTGTGTTCCCAGACTGAGAAGAGGCCCAGCATAGATTTGTGTCTTCAGTTACACAAGAGATAAAATTAATTTATTTTAGCTATTAAAAAAAAAAAAAAAGCTTTAAATATGTGCCAAGGAATCAAGGCACAAGAAAACTATAAAGTCATGAAAAACTATAAAGTCTCTTATGAGGTGATACATATATTGAATAGGTAAAATAAAATACTCTAAGAGCAAAAAAAACCCAAAAAAAACCCCAAAACCTGTCAGATAATGCAACAGAAATAACCTTAATAAGCCTTAGCTTTTAAAATAAAAGAGATTAATACCAAGCTGAGGAGAGACAAAAACAAGCTGGAGGACAATACCTAAGTCCTTAACTAATTTTTGACAAATTTGAGAGATGATCCAAAACAAACAGGACAAAGAAGGACAAATGTGCAGTATTTCAGTTCCACGAACAGCCAGCACAAATGAGAGATAAACAGCTGGTTAGAGCACAGTTTTGCAGAGATAAAACAAACCACAAAACCAAAACAAAACCCAAACTTGAAACAACTGCAGAAGTTGTAGAGGTCTTGTGAGCAAGTTCTCATTACTTGAGGGAAGTAGAGAAGAAATCTTATCAGAATAAAAATAGAAACCAACTTTCAGTGTATGAACAAACACTAAACCATAAACAAATAGTATCCATGAGAGTGCAGCCCAGAGGAACAGCAGATTCCTCAAGTCAGTTGATTCCAACACAGGGGGAAAAAGTTGGTTCAGTAAAAATTTGCAGATGTTTTTTCCAATGGTTTCATCACTTTGGATGAAGCACCCACCTCATCCTGCAGAGAGAAGTACTAAACCTTGGTGCAACCATGAAAATGGGCTGTGGCTCTGGGAAATCATCACACAACGAGGAGATCTGGGGTGAAAGTCCCCAGAGAATGGCAAACCCCATAACTTTACCACAACTCCAACATGCAAACAACAAAATGCAGGTGTAATTTTAGACTCATTACTAAATTAGACAGCACCACCACCTAATCAAATTAGAAAGTGCTTTAGCTCCAGCTGTAGCTTAGGCTGACCTGAGGAGAGCATCACTACAAAGAGGTGCAATTACTGCCAGCCATTAATGATTTACAGCATCCTGCCCTTGAAAGGTACCAATGTTTAACTGGGGGTTGCTCATTGCTGTGTCACTTGTGACGACCACGGCTTGGGAAACAGCCATTGCAACAGACTTGCAATTTCGTCCAGCTAAGATTAGCAAAATATACCTCTATTTTTAGACAATTCAAGTTCATATATAAATTTTGTGCCCATAAGTTGAGCAAGGGAGGCAGAGAACAATAATTTATGTAATAAGCAAGATGTGTTTCCATGTGACTTTGACTGAAGAATGTTCATCTGACAGATGCTGACAGTAAAGAAAATGAGATTAGCACAAAACTGGAAGTAAGAAGAGTACAGACATACTAAATACAGCCTAAGAACTTGATATTCCCTCCATGTAATACCTTCCAATTCAGGATGTTTTAACTACAGCTTACACCATGCACTGTTTAATTAACATTCCCTCACAAGACCTTTATTGAATAAGCAGACTTGACATAAGACAAAACTGCCACTGAAAGCTTCCAGGATTGGATCCAAAAAAACCTTTAAGCACATGGTGACAAACTAATGAAAAGGCTGCTCTGTTTTAAATCAGGTCCAAAATAAAAACAACACAAGAAAAGCAAATATTTAAATGTCCAGCACTGCAGAATGGAGGACAACTGAGAAAGTGTCAACATTTAACAACAAATATCTATGGTGGTGACAGAGCAGCCAGGTGAGTCACCACTCACATGTATCCAACTCCAGTTTTATTGTAGTTTCCCATTTCTAATTTCACGCAATGTTCCCCTGAACAAGAACCTTCCCAAGGGTTTCATCAAACCTTTATACAACCCCATGACATCCCCCAAAGGAGCTGCAAGGTTGCAAATCACCCAGGGATTTAATTTTATTTTATAACGACCATGCTTGTAAGCTGTTCTTTCGTAACAAACTTTTCCTGTTAAATACCCTGCCCTAAGTCATCCTGGTTAAAGGATTACTGTAGGGTCCATCCTGACAAAGTCCTCCCAGTGCTTTAACCCCCCTCTAAGGCCGCAGCATTTGTACTGATTTCTTAGAAATTATATCAACAATTCAAAACTCATTTTGCACTTTATTATTGACTTTCTCTTGGGGTATAAGAGGACAATGTTCTAAACAAAACTGTACCTCTCGTCCCATTGCTACAGAGCACTGTGCGCTTGATCACTGTGCTCTGTGGAGCTTTCTTTTGTTGGATTTTGCTGAATAAAGCACTCCAGCAGAGGAGACATGCCTATGACTCTATCCCGAAGGCACCAAACCCCCTCTCTCACACAAATGAAGGTAGAAATCCATCAGACAAAGCTTGGTTTAGTTTAGAAGTTCATATTCCAGGGAGCCTGCAGAAAACCAAAAGCCGGCAGTCTAGCAGCATTTACAATTTTAGCTTTTGATTACACACCCAAATGCTATTTCCACCAAAACCCGGGCACTTTGAGCATCACGTGTGCGCTGCCCAGGCAAAACAAGTCCCTTTGCTAACCCTTCCTCTGCCAGCACGGACCGGGCACCAACCCAGGGCCGGAGCCTCGGGGGCGAACAGCGGGGCTGGCCCTGCGGGAAGGGTTATCCTTCCTCGGGGGCGAACAAACAGCGGGGCTGGCCCTGCGGGAAGGGTTATCCTTCCTCGGGGGCGAACAAACAGCGGGGCTGGCCCTGCGGGAAGGGCTATCCTTCCTCGGGGGCAAACAGCGGGGCTGAGCCCGGGACCCAGCCCCGCGGGAAGGGTTATCCGGCCTCGGGGCTGCCCAGGGGGATCCCGCGGGCTCTGCCGGAGCCAGCCCGCAGGGAGCGGGATGAGGGAATGCGGGACTCGGGACACACGCGGGCACGGAGCTGCCCCGGCGGGGACAGGCACCGGGGAGGGGACACAGGGACACGCACCGGCAACACACACCGGGCGGACAGAGCGACACGCACCGGGGACACACAGACGCACCGGGGACACACAGACGCACCGGGGGCACACAGACGCACACCGGGGACACACAGACGCACCGGGGGCACCCACACCGCGGACACCCGCACCGCTCCCCCCTCAGGGCCGCCCGGCCCGGCCGCGCCGCCCCGCTGGGCTGCCCCGGCCCCCGACTCACGGCGTGCTCAGGGCCGGGCCCCGCGGCGGCGCTGGGCGCTGTGAGGGGCGCTGTGAGGGGCGCGGGGCCGCCGGGCCCTGCGCGCCTCCATCGTCCCTCCCCGCCGCCCCGCGCAGGCGCGCTGCCGCCGCGGGCCCACCGCGCAGGCGCGGAGCGGGGCGGCTGCGCGGGGCCGCCGCTGGCCCGCGGGGTGATTAGCGCTGGTTAGCGGTAATTAGCGCTAATTAGCCACGGGGGCGGTGCGGGGCGGCTGGGTGGGCTGCGGGTGTGTAGCGGCTGCCTGAGTGGCCGGGATCGCACCGGGTTATACCCGCGGTGGAGGTGCCAGCCCAAGCCCCTCACACCGCCCGGCACCCCCGAGCCCTCACACCGCCACATTCCGGCCACACCGCACCCTCATCTCCAGCCATCCCATCCCTCCAACCGCCGAATTCCAGCCATCCCCATCCCTCCTGCCATCCCGTTCCTCCAACAATCCCCCACCCTCACCTCCAGCCATCCTACACCTCGAACACCTCCAGCTTCCAACCATCTCACACCTCTGGCTATCCCTCCTCTCCAGCCATCCCACACCCCTCACCTCCAGCCATCCTACCGTCCCACTCCTGCAGCAATCCCACACTTCCTACCTCCAACCACCTCAACCCTCCAAACATCCCACCATCCTGCTCCCCAACTGTCCCACCTCTCACCATCCCATCTCCACCTCTCACCATCTCATCTCTCTCCTCAGCCCATCCCTCATCTCCCACCATCCCATTCCTCCAGCCACCTCACCTCTCACCATCCCACCTCCCCACCTCCACCATCCCATGCCTCAAACTATCCCACCCCCATCCTCCCATACCTCCCACCATCCCATCCCTCCAGACATTCCACCTCTCACCATCCCATCTCCCACTCTCCAACTACCCCATCTCCCCCATCCCACACCCCAACCTCTCACCTCCACCGTGCCCTCTCAGCTCAGGCACAGACTGCACCATCCCCTGCCCTCCTCCTGCCTTTTGCCCTGCAGCTCTCACCACGCCCTTGGCCAAGGGTGTGGCTGTTGGCACAACCCTCACATCCTGCTCTCATTGCCCTACATGTCACAAACTTTTACCTTAATCTGGCTTTTCATCATCGGGTACAATGTCCTTTGACACAAAACTGCTTGACAGCCCACATGACTTTGTGAGGATCACTCCTCTCAAATACAGACAGAAAGTGGTGGAAAAAAAAACCATCCTCCAGTCTGTAGTTGAACTGAAAAAAATTAAAAGGTTATGGTACCTCAAAATCATCAGGAGCTTTGTCACAACTTCAACAGGAGGATCAAACCCCTGGATGGATGCCAGCAAGAAAACAATTCTTCATTTACCAAACCTAATTTCAAAATTGCATCTTCTGCTTTAAAGAGGCCACACTCATGGGTTAAATCACATCAGGATGAGCCCACACAATAAGAGCAAGTTACACCATAAGAGAATGTAGCACTTGGGGATTTTTTTTTTTTCTTCTTCTTCCTTTATGTAGTAATTTGTTTTTGGGGAACCAGGGAGCTGTAAATAACTGATGGTCAGTAAAGGCTGAAACAAACTTGAAAAAGAGGAAGCAGTTGCTAGATGTGGGAAAATACCATTGGCCATGTTACACCACTCTTGAAAGTACAGGATTTTGAGGCAAAATTTCTCTTTAGCCCTTCATTCCAGAGGCCAGTGTGCCAGGAATTAAGGCAACAGCACACAGCTCTGTGGAGCTAATGATATCTCAGAGCCTCAAATGTCTTAATTGTGCTGAAAGGGATTCTCAAGGTGTAAAGGGACACCAGAACATGACACTAGGCAGGAATTCAGCTTTAGGGAGTCAGAGCATTGCCCTGAAACCCGAAGTGAAAAACCATCCTGGGAGAGATGCTCGGACACAGGAGCTCTGGCAGCCACCACTCACTGACCAAGGCTGGCTCTTGGGATGGGCTTTTCCAAATTCACCAGGGTGAAAGTGAGAAATCCCCACCAGAGCCACGATGATTTACAAAAAGAAACCCTTCAAGTGGTTCTTCCCACAGCGCAGCCGCTTCCCTGCTGTTGCCCAACATTTTGTAAGAGGCCTGAACTCTGCAGCAGGAGCAGCTCTTATCCCTGGTAATTGGTGGAGATAAGACTGCTAAGCAGCTGAGCCTGTCCTATTTATAAAAGGGCTGCTGTTAAAACAGCAGCTCTGAGCTGGGCAAGTTCAGCAGCGACCTTGGGAGCTCTGCTTGGGTGTTGGGATGAGTGTCCCGGGCTGTGACAGCTCTTTCCTCCCCAGACTGCAGTGACAGGACAAACAGAAGGGTTTAAAGTCCCTTTTAAACATCTCCTTCCTGACACCATGAGCAGAACGCTCTAAGCCATGTTGTGCTTCCTTTCTCTCAGGGAAGAAAACAAAGAGAAATGTTGGTAGGAACTTGAGAAATGAGCATAAAAACATTCTGGGTTTTTTTGGTTTTTTTTTTCCTACTGGGGTTCTCAGTTCCTAGAAATAACAGAAAAGATAATTTTACAAAAATGCTGTTGTTTGACAACTTGCACAGATGTGCCTGGTACAGAAGCTCAGTTCAGCCTCCACCTACACCCCAAACCTACCTCCAACAGGAGGCATTTCAACTGAGCAGGAAGCAATTAGCAAATTGCCTCTATTAACATCTAGCAGAGTGGAAGAACATAGTTCTTACCTCTCAACCCTAATTTCAAGCAGCCTCAGATGACTCAGAATTCCTGAGGGATCATGAGAAGTAAAAAAGTCCCACAAAGCCTGGATTCTGATGGAGATGGTGGCACGTGAATGTGACAAATAAATTATTTCTCAATGGTGACACACTGACACGAAGACAGGGAAATGCTTTTCATTATTTAGGCTGATTACCAACACCTCCAATCATTAAGTTAATGTCACTGTCCCAGTTTTGAGGCTGAACTACATTAATTGACTTACATAAGGGTTAATAAATCTGAGATGAGCAATTGGGAATGTTGGCCTGATACCCAAACTCCATCCCCAGATCATCTCTGGCAGTGTCAGGGTAGGACTGAGAGCAGAGTTAGGTAAGAGAAGTGGAGAGATTTTGGGGAAGTCTAACATGAAGAGGAATATCAAAATTAGCAGCCACGACTTACCTCCTGTCTTGAAGCAAGATGACTGACTGCAAAAAATCCAAAAATCAAAGGATGTGTCCTGGTGAGATTCAGCTTGGGGTGTTTGGGAGGTGCTCTGTGTCTCCCTGAGTGACTAACAGAGTGTGCTTTTCTGCCTTTAAAGCAGATAAAATCAATTGCTTTCCTCTTTATCAATCTTGTCAAGACTGTAATCTCCCTGACACAGGAAATGCATCATTGCATGTGCCCCAGAAGTGTTCAGAAGTGGATGGGTTTTCACTTGTAAATAAAAATAATTTTGAAAAACTGTTTTAACTTATCACACCATTTCACTGCTCCCAGGAAAACTGGTGATTCTCTTGAGGAAGGAACCTTGGTTCATGGCAGACCTTGATTCTTTTTAGAAAAGCAGCTCGATGAACTGGAAAATGTAAAAGCTTCTTGTTGCTTCATTTTCCAGGTATTTCTGCAAGCACAGTCCTGCAGCACTGGATTTTAAACCAATTTACCAGAGAGATGTGCAGCCCAGAGGAATAAACAGCCTGCTGAAAGAAGAGAGGAAGTTGGGTCACCAGCTTTCGTAAGTGCCCAGGCTTTGAAAACAGCCCGAGGAGTGACAGCAAGAGTGAGGTGGATTCCTCTCTGATATCGTGTGTGACCAGGCACTGGCAGCTGTGGAATGGGCTGAAATGGCAACAGGCACAAGCTCAACAGGTGACAGGAAAAGTAAAATGGCCAAACCCTGTTTTTGTTGCTGGCAAGGGAAAGAATTATCACTGCAGGCTCTGTACAGGTGTGAAATACCATGTTCTTGTTCCAAAGGGAATAAAGCTAGTGGGGGGCTCATTCTTTTTTTTCTAGGCTGCCAGAGCACAACCTTATCCCAAACTAGCTGGCTCAGCAGGTACCAGAATCCTTGGAGCACTGCAAACACATCCATCCTGCAGGGAGGCTGATCCTTGTTAGCTCGCCAGGAGTTAACACCAATTTCTGCTCTCAGAGCCTCCAGGGAGCCAATTTGCAGCTTGGTCATTACCAAAAATTTCCTTGCAGCCCTAAGACTCTTGCAGTTTTAAGTTTGAGAGCTTTGTTGTCCCCAATTAGCAAAGTCGCTGCCATCACCTCACTGTGTGGCTCTGCTCCATTGCAGCTGTTGGCTTATGAAACACTCCACCCTCGTATTAAACTCTGGTTAAAGCCCCCACAAAACAATCCAGGGATTAAAAAAGCTGCTCATCCTCTTGTAATTGAGGCTCTTTATTCCTTTGACCTTCAAGTTTGTGCTGCCCTGGGAGTTATTTGATAGCACAGGAGAGAATTCTGACCAGTGACTTGATATTACCAGGACACTTAAAAAAAAAATTTCGTTTTCTTGTTAAGAAACCTGAAATCTTGATGGAAGATCTTCAAAAGTAAGTGCCTGAATCCAATTTGCTGATGAGGATCAGATGGAGATTTTCAC